GCTGCTTAGCCGTTCTCTTTGCAGACCTGGAACGGCAGCTGGAAGAGCAGAAGAAACTCGCCAAGGACCAGAAGGCGAAGTCCCAAACCATCCAGAACGTGGTGCTGATGCCCGTCAGCGCTCCCAAGCCCCCCAAGAGACCCCGCCTGCAGCGCCCAGCCTCCGCCACCGTTCTCAGCCCCTCCACCCCCATCCAACAGCCTCAGTTCACGGTCATCTCGCCCATCGCTATTGCGCCCGTCGGACAACAGTTCTCCGTGGGCAACATCCCGGTGGCAACTATTAGCCAAGGCTCTAGCCCGGTGACTGTTCACACCTTGCCGTCTGGCTCCCAGCCCTTCCGATCCGCCACCGTGGTGTCCTCCTCCAAGACCAGCTCCTCTGACACGGTCACCCTCCACCCGTCCTCCAGCCTGGCGCTGCTGAGCTCGGCGGCCATGCAGGACAGCGGGGCTCTGGCGAACGTGGCGGCCGTGGTCAACCCCGTGGAACTGGTGGCCATGGAGTCCGGCCTCACCTCCACCATCCAAGCCGTGGAGGGCACCTCGGATGACGGGCAGACCATCATAGAGATCGACCCGGCGCCGGATCCCGAAGCGGATACGGAGGAGTCGGAGGGCAAAGCTGTGATCCTGGAGACAGAGCTGAGGACTGAGGAGAAAGTGGTGGGAGATGTGGAGGATCATCAGCACCAGGTCCATAACGTGGAGATTGTGGTCTTGGAGGACTAGTGGGGAAGGCAAGCGTCAGTTTGGGGAAGAGTTGGGAAATTGTTTTATTTTGGGCTTTTTTGTTAAGCATCTTTTCCAGCCACCCCATTTGTTTCCATGGATATTTTCATTGTACTGTATATAATATATATATATAATTTTTTTTTTTTTTAAAACAAAAAAGCCATTCTGTTAGGAGATTCCTCTTTCCTTTGTTTACTATCAAAGGCTTTGCTCACATTTGACCCCCTCGGGGCTGCCTTTTTAATTCCCCTTATAATTAACGTCCAGTAATCAGACATGTTTCTTCTTCCTGCGGGGTCATTTTGATTCCAATCAGGTCTTTGTAGGGGTAACTTTTGGTCGCCTGCCACCCCATGAACATTTTCTCTTTCTTATGTTCTCATCCCTGCTACATGAATCATTTTTCTTTCTTCAAGGGGAGAACAAAGTTTCTATGATGGATTGCATTTCTTCCTAAGCGTATACATTTTTAATTTTTTTTTTTTTTAAACAAAAAAGCTGGAGAAACACGTGAGACCTGGAAAAGGCTCCGTCTCCGTGGAGCACTGAACAATACCACCTGTTTGCAGGGTCAAGGAGAGACTGGATCTCTGCTGGACAGCCCAGCCGGGAGGAACTGGAGGAGGGCTCCCGGTGCCGAGCGCGCCGTGGCCCAGCCACGCACACGGTGCTTCTGCTTCAGGCTGCCCTGGCCCCGATGGTTTTATTTCAGAGAGACGATAACCAGTGGCTGGAGCGTTGACGTGACTGTGGGAAGGGGTGACGGCTTTGGGGTGGAACAGGTACCTCATTTGTATTTTTATTTTTCCCCAGGGAAGGGAATTCTGTCGGACTCTTCACTGTCACCTCAACTGGGATTTTTTTAGTTATTATTCTTGCTTTGGGGAAGAGGACAGTAACTCTGCCTTTACTGTCCATATTCTCCTCCTCCTCCACACAAATTGTTTTTATATCTATTTTTTTTTATTTGTTTGCTTTCCCTTCCCTTGTCCAGATTTCCCAGCTGCAAAGTCCCTGGGACCTA